CAATTAATCTTTTAGAGGTTTTCATAATACCTTTACAGAAAGAGTTGCCAGTTTGGCGGATTTGGATTTTGGGGTTTAGCAGAAGATAAGGAAAATTAATTTTTCATCAGGGTTAATACAAGCTAGCAGGGCCACAAAGGCTGAGAAAAATGGTTTGGGAATTTGTCAAGTGTTGTCACTCTAGAATAATGCTGCTTAACGTCTGATAGGTGTAATCAAGAGTTGAGATTTCTATAGAGGGGGATTAATCAATTTGCTCACTACAGAATGCAAGTTGGTGATACCATTCCTTCATGGGGTTTAAGAATGAAAATAAGATTTGATCTGTCAAATTGCAAGCAGCTCTGACAGTATCAATAGGCATTTTTATCAGTACATTTTAAAGCATTTGTTATAAATAAATTTGTCCTGCTAATGTTGGTGGCAAATAAACTTCATCTTCCTTGTAAAACTGTCATAATGATTCTGGTAGAGAGCTTCAGCTTGCTAAATTCAAGCAGTCCCTCATAAAATTCTGCTTTTAGGATTTGTGATCTCATATTTGAAAGAATGGTGTTTATGTTTCTCAAAACACACCACTGACTCTCTATGTATGTTTATAGTGAGAGAGTCTTACTACTGAAAAACAGCCACGGTAAGTATCAGGGAATCGGTTCTAAAATTCATGGCCACTGAATGGTGTAATTTATCATTTTTGTTAGTCCACTTTTGAGTCAAACTGTGCAGACTGTTCCACAGTAGAAGTTTGAAAACCATTCACCATGTAGATCAAATCCTTTTGCCTCGCTCTTGAGTTTTGTTTAATTATACACACTATTTGAAATTAACTTGTCGTTTTGGTACTGCTAACAATCTTGCAGTACTTGAAATTTGGAAAATAGTTTTTATACTTTCCCCTGAACAGAACTCCTGCCACTTAAAAAAAGGCATTTTCATTACTCCAGAATTAACCGAATAATGGTCAAGTTTCATTCAAGAGAACTCTTTCCTGGCTATATGTTAGGAAGGCAGACCTTCGAAATTCAAAGCTTGAAGGCCAGAAGTATTTGTAATATAGAAATTAAACGGTAGGCAATAACAAAAAAACATTCTTCCTTTATTGGTTTGCAGACAAAGAATGGAAATTCACTTTCCTGCAGACGACTTCAGAGGAAATTTGCAGTATAAAATCAGAGCTTGTGTCCATCAATCTCAGTCTCTGTGGTGGATTGAGAAGTATTCTGCCTGGCGTCAGCACTTTGTGCATCAAATTGTATGAGGCAGGGCATGATGATGAATAGATGCCTCTGAAAAATTTAGTGTTGCCCTGTACGTGCCAAAATGCTATAGAAAAAATCAGATAAAAATGTATTTTGACAAGAGAAGACTTAAGATTTTAATACCTCCTTCTGTTGCTACGTGTATAAATTTGGGGAGGGCAGTGATGTAAGCAAATGAAGAATTAGCAATACAGAAATTGTCTTTAGGAAAGGAAGGCAAAAGTTGATGTCAAATGAGCTAGAACTGAGACATTCTAAGAAGAGATGGTAGCAGTTTAGCTTCTGTGATTTAGATGTCATTTTGGGTAGCTTCTGCAAAATAGCTTCAGTTCATGTACCTGCTTGCCTGTAGCTTTGCTGTGTGTTCTGATTTACCTTCTGGGTGCCAGCTTATTGTACACCTCATGAGTGAAAATCAGGAGTCAGCATATGTAGAGTCATCTTTACAATCATACGTCTTTTCCTCCAAAGTGTTAATGTTTTCATATGAGTGTGTGACCTGTAAGTAATGTTCTGAGGTTTTATAGCTTTAAGTCCAGATGTTAAAACTCTTTGCGGGTGTTTTGCTTGACTTGGTTCTTCATTGACATGCCTAAGGAAGCCACTAACTGTCTTGCATAGGAGAAGTTTAAAGGATGATGGTGGTGAGTCTGATTTGCCACTAAATACTACTACATAGGTTCATTTTGGCTTGGACAGTGCTTGTCCTTGCATTGTCATGTCTTTAACATGTGAAAAAAGAATTGGTGCTGAAATTTGTTATCTGAGGCTGTGTAATTTTGCTTGTTGGGCTCATAGTGACCTAGGAGTCGTGTTTGGTTTTCATTTTCTTAAGAAAACCACCCGATTTTGTCTTTGCTTGGAGCCAGGTGTACGTGTAACAGGAATCAGTGTATTGCTGACTTGCAGGGAGCACTGTTAGTCCTTGAGCACCAAGTCGCTCGCTCTCAGACCTCACTTGAGAAGTGCTGCAGGTTCATCCCTGCTTCCCCTCTTCAGGTCATCTAAAAAAGCAGTAGATGTTCAGAGCAGTAGTATAAAGAAGGGGTTTGATCCAGTTGCCCTTTCTTCCTTCTTGTTGCAGGAACAAGGAGACCTTGCTCCATCCCCTTTTCTTACCCTATGGACTTTCTTGTTTTGTGTTGGTTTTCTTATTTCTGAATTATAATTCAAAAGTCTGGAGATGTTTCTACCTTCTGAGACTTTTGCAGGAGCGTGGTGCTAGCAGTGAAGCCCAAAGGTGGCATTTGAGACCCCAGCAGGGAGCAAACCCCATCAAATTTTTCATTAGTGTGAACCAATGTTGTGTGCTTATGCCTTTGACTCTGTTGTAGTTGTGTGTTTAGTTTATACAGTTTTATTTGGTGATAATTGGGCTTGGTAGTTAAATACTGGGTGGTTGTTGGCCATCCTAGCCTTTTATGGGAAATGATTGTTTGCTTTTGAAGTTTCAGTAATGAGCATGTTCGATGTGTTTTGTACCTGAGGGCTTCACTCTCAGATGCTCTTCCTATGTGCTGGGGTTGCCTTTTGGTTTGGAAAGAAATGGTTGCAAATACTTGTGGTTGTTTTTCACAGTGGGCAGTTAGCAGAGATTAGATTTTAACTCCCAATTACTGCATTTAAATTCCTCTTAGAATTTTTTTGTTCCTTTTAGTTTCATCATCTTCCAGCTGCTGTAGGGTTGAATAAAAGAAATTATCTGATCAGGGCATAGGGCTTATGGTGATCTTGGTATTGGAATTAATACTAAAATGAGGAGGATTTAATGCTGGTTTCCTGGTAATGTTTTGTTTGTGTGCATACATTTGGGTTTTTCAGGAGAGGAGAGCTGTTGCTTTTACATTTTTGAGCAGTAATTGAAGAGAGACTCTGAAGGGAAAGCTTTATAATTTCTCACTAGTTACTGCTCTCAAAGGTGTATATACAAAACTTCCTGTGAAGACACGGAGCCATTCAGTTTAGCAGAGAAAAAAGCGTATGTGATTAGAAGTGGAAAAATTAGATGCAGTTTTCTGCTGCTTTCTCACTTTGGACACTGTGGACGAAAGCCCTTAAGTGGGAAGAGCTTCAAGATTTTCCCTACGACAGATTGTGCTTTTGAAGTGTAGACAGTGCAAGGGGGGGATGAAGCTGATTTGTCTGGGATTTAAGTAGTTGAGTTACTGAGAAGTTGTTGCCTGCATATACTTGATAATACAGAGGACTTGATTTAGGGGTGTGAATTGTGAACTAGTGAACTTGCGAACATGAGACTATCCTACATATCACCCGTACCGGACTATTTCTCTTCAAATGGTAGCAAAGAGACTTAGTAACCAGTTCTCAGTAGGTGTTTCTTTTGCTTTTGTTTAATCCCAGTAGAGAGGTAATGATTTATATTCTCAATCAAGATAATCTCGCTCTTAGACCATAAACGTATTCCTTCTGCAGCCTTGTATTTTGTCGTCTTGTCTGTGAGAAACGTGCCAGTTCGTATGAAACCCTCTGGTTCGTGAGATGTGTTACAGATGCGAAAGAAGTTTTGACTTGTGAATATTTAAGGAAAGGGGAAAGAACCCTATGTAAATAAAGATGCTTTCGTAATTTTTTTTCCCCTTTAGACATGCCTTCTATTTGGGAGGTTTTGCAGTGTTACCTGAGGTTGCTCAGGGACTTAGATGAAGCCTTCCCCCTGCAGATTTAACATCCACTAGTATTTGAGTTCTAAAGTTGGAGTCCAGTCAAGGTATAGATACTGCTGTTGAAACCATGCAATGATATGATGTGCTTTATAGGTGCAGAAGTGCCTGGTCTTTTGTCAGGTTCTGCTGTCTCTTGCTCCATGGGATGTTTTTCAGTGATTGATCTGATCTGGACAGTGGGACACACATTCAAGAATCACCTGTCTGTGGGTGGAAAAAAACGAACTGTTTGGGTAGAGGCAGTGGAAAGGAATCATTCCTCTCTTGGTGCCTTCAGCTTATGCTTTTACTGTGCTTGATTGCACTGAGAGTTGTAGTGGAAAGAGCTACATTGGATGAGAGGGGCACTGAGGTGGTGTTTCGTTGTGCTTGTGATTATGAATATCTATAATAAGAGCTTTATAAAACAAACAAACAAAACCTTGGGGAAGAACTGTTACAAGTACGGACAGCGTTTGAGGAAGGAGACTGCTTAAAAGGCTGCTGGTATAGAAGCTGGCAGAATAAGTATGTGCTTCAAAATAAATACCAGTTTTTAACTAAAGAGAGGTTGGACTTTTAAAGATGAGCAGAGTATTTGCCTGGTTCTTCCAGCCTTCACAGTTCTTTGCTCCTTCTTCAGCAATGTGTATGTCTCCCTTTAAAAAAACCAAACAAACAAATTAAAAAAAAAAACCAAAAACCAAACCACCTAAAAAAAACCCCCCCAACCTGCACACCGTAGTTCACATGTAACCCTGGAAGGAAGAATGATTTGGAAAAAGAAGTGAAAACGCCTTGCTTCTTTGTATATGAAAAGACATTATTGAGCATTGTAATTATAATAAAGCCTGAACGAAATAAACTGTTCTTCAGATACCATGGATTTATTTTAGGCTGAAGCACAATTTCCAGGCTGAGCCCTTGCACGCGCCTGCCGCGGCCGCTGGTTTGCTTTAGCGGGCAAACCGATGGGCGTTCTGCGTGCGCTGAGCGAGCTGGATGTGGCAGGAGGCTGCTCAGGGCGAGGGTTTGCGGTGCCTGGACATTGAGCCGCCTGTTGTGTTGTTGATTTCAGCAGGGGGGAGAGGATGCTGGCTTTTTTCACCCAGAGGGCCAGCCCCAGCGGCCTCAACAACCCCTGGAGCCGAAACAGCAGCCAGTGCGGAAGGTCACATTGACAAAGGGAATGCAACAGCAGCAGCACCAACAGCAGCAGCAGGCACAGATCCATTCACCAGCTCCTCAAGGAGTCAAAAACATCCAGGGAATCCATCAACCTAAAAAGGTGATTTTTAGATGCATATTGCTGCTAGAAGTTTTACTGTCTAGCTGTGTTGCTCTATTAATAACTAGCATTCTGTTTGTCAATTGCTAGCGCAGGGCTGCATGACCCAGGAGATGCATAATTGCATATAAAGCTTTTAATCTAGAGAGGCCTGTTTGTACCCAGCACAGACTGGAGATGCCTGCAGGTTGTTTCATCTGCTGACTTTCTGGCCAGCACAGTACTCCCTGGGGTAAATGTGTGCGTCCCAAGATAGCTGGTGTAGGAGATGGTATCCGGCATGCTTTCTGGCTTTAAAACCAAGAGTTGTTCTGAAGTTGTGCTTAAGCTTTTATTCTGGCTGTTTCCTGCATACGTAGGAGCATGCAGCGACTGTTTCAGGATGCTCTTTGGTCGATCCTCAAAGCTGGTATTGCTCAAAATAGTTGCTGATCTCGTAACTGGATTTTTGCACTGATTGTGCACCGGGAGGAGGCAGGGAGAGGATTCGGGTGGCACTGGCGCGTGCCTTCTCTGCATTTGCAAATGGGCGCGCTCCCTGAAAATAGCTGGTATTTTGGCTTTTAAGTTATATCTCGGTTTTGAGCTGTTGGCCATAATCTTTCTGCTTCATGTAAGGACAAAGTTTCCTTGCTGATGAGGAGGGGTGTGAAAAGCTGTTGCCCTCCATAGGCTTTCTGAGTAGGAATCAAGAAACTATGTTGAATGTTAACTCTGTTTAGTGTTTGTTACCCTGTTTCACTGTTATTTTTCCTCTCTCCAACTGTTCAACCTTTAATATACAAGACTTAAATCCACATGTTTCCAGCTCCAGAGGATACTGTGGTGCCAGATCCTACAGAATTTGGGGGAAAGGAACTTTGGAAAAAAATTGTTCTAAAGTTATTTGTCATATGCAAATGATATCATCATTATTTATCCTGATAACAGCCCAAAAGTTGGTAGCAGTAGAAACCGGAGGTGCTGGAAGCAGTGTGCTGGTCTTGTGGGTACATTAAATTTACCCATGGGTTGAGAAGAGAAAAGGGAGAGGGATCACTGTTTGTTTTTTTTGGCCAGATTCAAAACACAGGGGCTGAACACAGGCTGCTAACGTGAGCAGTTTCGAAAACTAGGTTATATATTTTGGTCTGAGATCCTCCATTGCTTGGTTGGTCTGTGCTAACACTGTGGCTTTTAGCCTCAATGCAAAATATATATATATATATATATATAAAACCAATATATAACTTGCTGTCCTTCTAAAAGAGGTTTGTATAAGCAGTGGATGAATACGTTAATATGTGGCCTTTCAAATCAGCAAACAACAACAAGCTGTTTTAAATCAACACATACTTTAATCAAGTCTTTAAGTAAATCGCCAACTTTTGTATCGTCTGTCAAATGCAGTGAGCAGAAGCACTAGGTAAGTAAATCAAAATACTGTTACTTTTGTTGTTGGCAGGTCATTATGCACGGGAGAGGCAGAGGAGTAGCAGGCCAGATGGGCCGAGGACGCTTGATGCCAAATAAACAGAACCTGCGAGTGGTGGAGTGCAAACCTCAGCCCTGTATTGTGTCAGTTGAAGGGCTTTCTTCATCAACTACTGATGTCCAACTGAAAAACCTGCTGATGTCAGTGGGACCCATTCAGGTAGGTCAACCTCAGTTTATCATTTTTGTGCCAAAAGGCTTTCATTCCGGAAAGCTCAATTAATTCCCTGACACTAAATACAATGTGTGTTTATTGGTAATTTATGTTTGAAGGCACCCCCACCCACACATGCTACACCTGGTAGCAAAGACAAGCACGTGATGGTACTGCGACACAGGAGGTACGGTAGGATTTTGCTAACCATCACATTCCTG